AGCCCATTGCTTCATCGACACCGGGGATGGCAAATGCCAGATCCTGCATCATCGATCCCATTGCACCTTGCGAATCGGCTGTTTGAGAAAAGTGAGGCAGCAGAGCAGAGTGAGCACTAGGACAAGCATAAGCATGAGCGGATCACCAGAGGCTTCGCTCATCCGAGGCGCACAAGTATACCGCTCGCCAAGGCTGAGAGCGCAGCTCTCCCTGCACCGTCCGGGACGTCCCACTCACACTGCTCGATCATCTCCTGGATGCTGCTGGCAGGGTCGATTTCCATGGCGCTCAAATTCTCAAAACCCTTGACCTTGGTAGCTTCTTTGCCAAACTTTTGACCAAAAGCATCGGACAAGTTGTGTGCGGGATCGGTAGAGATGAGCAGCACGCTCTCTCTAACTTTGGCCAGCTGCACAGCGAGACTGCAAGATGTCGTCGTCTTGCCCACCCCGCCTTTTCCACCGCAAAAGATCCACTTGAGCGTCTTTTGATCCAGAATGTTTTGAAGCGTTGGCGCGAGGGCGTCCTCGCCCACCACAGTGCTCTGTGCTCCGCTCATCGTGAATGAAAGGCTAGTGTAAGTGAGGAAAGCTTGAAGGAGGAGAAAGTCGTAGAGATTGGGCTTCCGGGTAGGAGCTTGCTGGCAGCAGCAACGGAAGGTAAGGTCAAGGCCTGCACAGGGTTGCGCACTTGATGCTCGCTGTAGTATGTGTAAGCCAAGTCTTGTCGAAGTCAGTTCAAGCTGACGGTCCTATCAGCTTTGATGCGTCAAGATGGTGAAGGGCGAGATGGTCAGTCTCAATCGAAATGGCTTCTGGAAGCGTCCAGGTGAACGTGGAAGCTTGTAATGTGAGCTGCCTATGGAGGGGTGCATGCATGTTGCGGTGGTGAGTGGACAGCTACACTCACACTACTCAAGTAGTCTGCCTGCAGCTCCTCCATGCAGCCCGCGGCTGAGCACGGACGCAACGCGTAGAAAGCGCCTGCTGCTGCACTTGGCATAGCGGCACACAAATTCACGATTGTAATTCTGATTATTTACGAAAAAGTCGCTCATGCCAGCTATAGTCTGCCGCTATGCACGGTGGGTGTCGCGTGCGGTCGCTCACGGTGAAGGCCGCGCCGTAGCCCTCTCCTCACCACAGTCATCATCGTCGCCGAGGACAAGTCGTTTCAGGAATGCGCTATCAGGCCATGTAAGTACATTGGATCGGTACGGGAGAGCGTGTTCAACGTAGACGAACGGTCTGGAACATCTGTTGAAGCGGGTTAGAATTTGAGCACTCGGGCGCTGTAAGAACAGCCAGGCTTTTCAAACGAAAAGGCGTGAAAGCCAGATGTGTTTCGATCAAGCCTGCGATAAAAGAGGCGTATTTGAAGCAGGGAGCAGACTGGCGCATCCATTCTGCGCCCTTCGCGCGGCCTCGATCCTTTCAAATCGGCGCAAAAGCGCTCTGAGCAAGCGGCGAATCCTCGCCACGCATGTCGCTCACCGCGTTGCCGTTCTCTGGAGTGGTAGACAAGTCGGGCATCCAAGCTAAGAAGGGATCAACATCCTCACCGACTCCATAGCCTTCTTGGAGGTCTCTCTGCGAGAAGCGCATCCTTGCACCGAGGGCAAAGTCGTTGTGTGGAGTGAAAAAGTCTTCATCATGGCGAAGGTGTCCGAACAGCTCAAAGTCCTCTGCTCGTTGATCCTCAAAGGTGGGCGGGTACCAATCGTCGACGATGATGTTGGTCGAGGGGATGAGGTCCTCAGATCCAACGATGGGGATCGAGGGAAGGTACGAGCTTGCCGCTGACATCTCCATGGGGGGACCGTGTTCTTTGGCTGCACTGACCTGCTCCGAAAATTCTTGGCGATGACGTTGGTAACGATCGATCAAGCGTTGCAGAGGTGGTGCACCATCGTCCGTGGTATGCGGCAGCTGGGATTGCATAGACACATCTGCAGCATGCATGTGCTCAAGGGGCGACTTCCCATCGTTCGGTCGCTTCTCTTTTTTGAGTGGTCGCTTCTGCTCACGTGGCTGTGACTGGAGGCACAAGACAGTCTACTCGTCAGGTCCACTTTGGCGACAAGGACACCTGCTTGGCACTTACAGGGACGAGGTCGATACAAGGCTCTGGAGGCTCATCAGCAAACATGTACTCGAACGCCATGCAACTGGGCTCAGACGATGCTCGGCGAGTGTTTCGAGTTGGATAAGCCATAACGGACGTATCGCCAGGAGAAGCGGAACCACTGGTCCCGTCGTTGGCCCATGGGATCTGGCCCCAACAAGGAGTGCTGGCTGCAAGCTGGCTGCCACGCACCGTGGTCTGGCTTGTTGAAAGATCCGACGGTGACCAACTCGAACGATTGACGAAAACGCCAGCCGCACTTAGGCTAGATAGCCTTCGCGCACCCGCAATCGCTAGCTCGTCATTTCGAGGCGTTTCGAGAGCATTGGAGCCAATTCCTAGCTCGAGATCTTGCGACCAGACTAGGCCAGTAGGAGCAGGCCTTCCGGAAGGGCGACCTTTGATCTTGATGCGTTTGCCAGCGAGCTGAGTGGACGGAGTGGATCTGACTGCTCTCTTCAAGACAGTCGGACTCTTGCTTGCTTTCGAGCCTTTCCCGCGCTTGGCCAATGGAAGGATCTTGGGCGACGTACCGCCCATCAAGATTTCTTCGCAGTCATGCTGGTCAGACTGCTCGTCGCACTCGTCGTCCGCAAATTTGGCCGAGTCGTCTGTGGCGTTGCTGGGTCGCTTCCTCATGGGGCGTAGCGCATCAAGCATTCCGGCGCTCTTCAGGATGCTCTCTCGTTCTTTGTACAGAGACTTCTGCGCCCGGGCTTGGTCCACATAGGCATTGCGGGTGTCCTGATCGAGCACCTCTTTGAAGACGCGACTCTGTAAGGTCAACGTGTGACTGTGTTCGAAGCCCGCTTCACCTGCCATCGCTAGCCTCTGGTTCCGAGTAGTATTCCCGAGCCAGATGCGAAAGGCGTTCAATGGCTTCTTAAGAATGCCATCGTTGGTGAAGGCATCTGCAGGAATACCCAAGGCTTCCAGAGGAGCTTCCACCTTCTCCATAGCTGGTGATGCCTGACGTTGTAATTTGACTTCTTCTGATGAGTGGTCCAAGGAAGCAAAAGGGTCGTCTTGCTCGACCATTGTATCTACAGAGTCACTGTGCAATGTGATCAAGCCAAGTGAGAGCTGCTTGATTCTGCTTGTCAGCGGAATCCTTTGCTACCGCTCAGCGCACGATGAGGATTGGACTCACAACATCTTGCCCGCTTGTCGGTAGGAATGAGAACTTGCGGAATGGGTGTCTTGGTCTTCGATGAACTTGGCAATATTGCGTCGAGTTGTCGGGATGATATCAGCGTTGGCGATGATGCTTGATGCTTGATGCTCGATGAAGAGCGAGCCAGAACATCCGACTGACGAGTGTGAGTCTTCAAGGTGGTCTCTTGTATGTACGCACGTCAACGGCCACGCAAGCGCCCGTCTTCGCTGCTTTGACCGCCGCCACTCACCTTCAGACGTCTTCGAGTCGAAGTGCGAGTATAGAGCCACACTCTTGATTCGCCGCACATTGCAGCCGCATGCAACCGTCAGACGATCTCGCTCAATCAAAATCACGCGCATCAGAACTTGAATCAAGACCTCGCAAGCGTTCATGCTAGACAGATACGTCGCAAACAACATTCTGAATCATAGGATCAGATCGGAGACTCACATTCGTGACTCCTCCCCCTCTCTGCTTCCGCGATCGCTGCGCCTGCATCAAAAGGGGCGCACCATTCGAATCATCAGCAGCATATGCGCCATTCTTCCGAAGGGCTCCTTCTTCGTCCCTCCGCGGAGACGCCGGCTCCGTTCAAGTCGTTGCGCGCATGCAGCATGGACTGCTCTCCTCCTCTTAATTGCGACACATGTCCTCACCATTGTGCTCATCCATCTTGCTTGACCATCACGATTGAGTCATTTCAATTAGATCGTGATCGAGGCGTGCAAAAAAGCCTGACTATATGGACGAGAGAATCGCGAATAGCGGCACGAATGGAGGGTCGTTGCAGCACGCTGCCAGCACCAGCACAAGCACCAGCTGCACCGCACCGTACCTGTCACACTTACGTCCACGCAACACCCCCCTTCGATCTCTTAATTAACTCTAAATCACGATTGCGATGAGCAATAAAGGATGGTTAATCAAATCAGCCGATCTGTGCATGCACGACCGCTTCCAATTGAGACCACAATACATGAATCGTGAATCCCGAATGAATCGACAAGTCATGCGCAACATCGGCCGGGGATATATCGATTTTCGCCACGCTCTACATACCATATACATACATACATACATGCATACATACATACATACATACATACATACATGACAATCTGGATGTGGATCACGAATTAGAATGCGATTAAATGGAAGTGGTGTTGGTGGTGAGTGAGCCCAGTGCACCCAGCGCATGCCAAGGTTGCGTCCTGGACTCGATCTTGATGAAGCAGCTTCATGATCGGCTCTGTGCCTGCATGTGGGCGAATTGGTCTCGTGAGTCGCAGCTCCACGCTGACTCGTGTGACTTGCCTCTCGTATACAAGATCTGCCGAGACACACTTGACTCAAGACTCACGACTTGTGACTGCGACTTACATATACACTATAGGCACTCAAGTCTGCGCAAGGATCGCGAGTTGCGGCGGCGCGAACTGACCAAGGTTAGTCAGTTGCATTCACATTTCATCTCACACGTGATCAATCACAATGTACCTGAAGTATTTCATTGGACAATCACCAATCACAATTGAATGAATCAAGAATAGGTGCTGTCAAAGCCAGTCAGCTAATCGTGATGTTCGCAAGACTGTCGACCGATTGAGTGAGCCAGGCGTCGCTAACGTCCTACGTACACACCTGTATCCGCATGCAAACCCGCGCCAATGAGTCGCAAGCAAATGTGCGCCTTGTCTGCATTTCCGGATAGTCACATATAGATCAGGAAGTGAGGAGCACGTGCGATGACTGCAAATTAAGAGGCAGAACAGATGGCGATGAGACATCCGCGGTACTCGATCATTGCCGGCGTGCAATGTGCATGCTCCTTTGTGCTTCTCTTCAGAATCTTTTGAGACAGGTCGGCATCTTGGCGAGACATATCGATGCGTCGGGATAGGATGATGAGTTGTGCGGTGACTCTTGATTCGCATTCGTGCTTCTCATCAGCCCCGAAGCGGACTGTATTGCGTCGATGATCGATACATATAGACATATGTGTATGAGTATCAATGCACGTGTGGCGGCTGGCGGCTGGATTTAAGACGTACGTTGGAACTGGACCGTGGCCTCGGCATGCACCGCGTAAATTGGCGCGTCCTGACAGAGTTCACCGATGACCGTGTGCCCGCATTTAGAGCAAGCCTCCCTCACACGACCTCTGAGGCTTGATGGAAGAAAAAAGGTGGCAGGCAGGCACTTGGAGGGCAAATGTGGGCTTGCAAGTACCCTTGCTACAGTTGCACCGCGCACCATGCAGCACGACATTGTCTCATGTCTC